ATCAACAGCACTCAGACAGCTAAGATCCCCATTTCACAAGGACTCAAAGTTAGCAACATAGATGTTTTTTTTATCTTTTGGCCAGTAACATCACTTCACTAGTCACAAGATTTATGACTGTGCATATTTTAGATACAAATTCCACTTTGTTACCCTTGTCACAGATTTGGGAAATATTCAGCAAGCTATACTTCAACCCCTTCACGTAGTACGCATTTTCAATAGAGTGGGAAAGAGACTTCCTGATCCTTCCAACTCCCAGAATGTATCCCTTCTTGCCATTTCCAAAGGATACACTCCCTCCCTGCAGGGCCTTCAGTGAAAGAAATCATTTGTACTTCCAGACATGTGCTTCGAGCAGCCGTTATCCATGTACCATTATTGACTGCTCCCTTTCGTTGTTCCCTGCATAAGGAAATCAAGGGTTAGACTTAGGAACCCAAACGAGTTTGGGTCCGTTGTAATAAGGAAAGGGTGAATGAAGGCTCTTTTGGTCCAAGTAGGCATTAAACGTTTTTTATGTAAGGGACCAGGTTCCCTAGCAGTAGTTACTTTTTCAGCAAAAACTTTATTTTTCTATTGAGATTGAAATCTGGCCTTACATGTTTCCTTAAAGTGCCTAGTTTTACCACAGTGAGTGTAGAGCCAGTTATCAGATACAGTAACGTACTTGATATGAGGGTTGTAGGGAGTCTTTTCCCTTTGGAACCCGATTCCCTACCTGTTTCCCCCATTGTTCGTATATATAGCGGTGATTGCATCAGAGGACCGGGTCCACTTAAGAGATTTTTCTAGGTCACTCTTCACTCTTCCTAGATCTACCTGAAGTTGTCTGTTTTTCTCAAGCTCAGCACACAGACTAAATTTTACTGATTTTAGCTCATTTACAAGCCTAAGGTGTGCCTCACTTGTAACTTCCTTTCCTTTTTGAGTGTTCACAGGCCTATTTTCCCTTCTTAGTTCCTAAATTATTTCCTTTAGGTATACAACTACTACCAATAGGTCATCTCTCTATGCTCTATGTTTGAAATTCTCTCAGTCAAGATATCATTTTCCCTTTTTAAACTCTCAATGGTCTCTTTAGATCATCCATAACCACCACTAGATTATCTCTCTCGTGTTCTATTTCTCCTAGTTCCGTGGTTAGCCTATTTTTATCAGTGGTGAGACCGGGATATGCATCAATTAAAACATTAGACAAGGATATAAGCTTCTTTTGAGAATAGGATTTAAAATTTCTTTAAACATCTAGAAGGTTTACCTCATCTTCATCGTCATCTTCCTCTTCCTCTTCCTCTTCCTCTTCCTCATCTGATTTAGCCATTAGAGCAAATATGGAATCATAATCAGCTGCTTCACTTTCTACTACCATCAATGGAGCTGTCACCTTGCCCATCATCTTCTCCGAATTTGCTGGAAGAGTCTCCCCATGCAGCAAGAGCCTGTTTCACAACGTTGTCAGCGGCATCTTTTCTTTTGAATCTTTTGTCAGGAACCTGGTCCACTTTACTGCTTTTCCAGTGTTGTGTTTGTATTGATCTTGCTTGAGAAGAAGGCAATCCTTGATGAAGTGTCCTGGCTTGCCGCACTTATGACATAGGTCATAACCTTTTGGCTTGCTGGAGCTGCCCCTTTTTGGAATGCCTCCATTTCTGCGAACCATTTTCTGAAACCTTCTTGTCAGGTAGGCCATATCAGCATCCTCACCACCTGAGTCATTGTTGTCCGTCTTGGGGACCAGGTTCTTCTCCCTTTTCGGCTCTCTTCTCTCATTGTCCTTCTTATTCTTCATTTCATAAGTCTTCATATTGCCAACAAGTTCGTCCATGGTCAGATTCATTAGATCTTTTGCTTCTGTGATAGCATTTACCTTGCTTTCCCATGAACCAGGTAATACACTAAGTATTTTCTTGACGAGTTTGTTCCTAGGGATGATCTCTCCCAGTGAGTGAAGCTCATTGATGATAGATGTGAAGCGAGTGTGCACATCCTAAATGGATTCGTCGTCCTAAATTCTGAAAAGCTCATACTCTGTGGTCAGCATGTCAATCTTGGACTTTACCTGTGTTGTCTCTTCATGAGCTGTTTGGAGAGCTTCCCAGATCTCCTTAGCTGATTGGCATGATGAAATCTTGTTGTACTCATCTGGTCCAATCCCACAAACGAGAATTTTCTTTGCACAAAAATTCTTTTCTATGGCTTTTCGATCAGCATCATTGAATTCCTTCCTCGTCTTGGGAATGGCTACAGCTGGGTCGCCAAGATTCTTGGTAGGAACAAAGGGTCCATCACAGATAAAATCACATAGCTCTGAATCTTCAACCATGATAAAGTCGTGGATCCTAGTCTTCCACCATCCATAATATTGGCCATTGAACCTTGGTGGTTCGTACGTAGGCTGGCCTTCCTCGAAGATTGGCGGAGCAGCCATGAGGATCCTTTCTAGGTGTTAACCTGATAGAAAGAACCTGCTCTGATACCAATTGATAGAATTTAAGGGTCTACCAAACTCTATAGAGAATCGGGTTCTCTGTTAGTTCCCACAGAACACAAGCAGACTGCAATAAGTAAATGGCACAGTGGAGTTTTACGTGGAAAACTCCCAGCTCACGGGATCAAAAACCACGACCTACCTTTGTGGGATTTCAACTTCACTACTGAGCAACTTTCAGATTACAACCTATTGTAACCTAGGAATTAACCTCTTAATCCATCACTAACTTGTAACACTCTATTACAAGCCACTTTGTAATAACTCTATTACAAAGATTTTAAACCTAGGAATTAACCTCTTAATCCTTCACTAACTTATAACACTCTATTACAAGCCACTTTGTAATAATTCTATTACAAAGACTTTACAACTAGACTAACTCTAGCTAAGATACAAACACAAGGGATTATGATTTATAAAGATTTCCTACACAATGCTTCTAACTAAGCTAAGTAGGAATTACAAGTAGAGTGTTTTAACAAAGGTACAACACAACTAAGTACATGTAATAACTTCAATATATGGAACTGGTCCTTGGTTATGTTGTTCTTCGTTCTTGATGCCCTTGAGAATCACTTGTTAGATTGATACAAACTTGAGAGAATGCTTGATGAGTTCTTTGAATGTGCAAGTGATTTGTTTTACCTTTGCTTGATGTTAATATCTCATTTGTGACATCACTTGAATGATGTAATCAAGTTAGGTAAAGATTTTTCCCCATAAAGTTGAATGTTGCATTGTTTCTGTACTGTAGCGTGTGCTGGCAGCAACTTTACAGCTGGGGTAGTTGACTTGTACACTCTCCTCGGGAACTGGTAGCTATTTGTTCCCTCTGATGTTCCTTTGACTCTAAAGAGTTGAATAGTGTTCCCAACTGGAGACTTGTTGATCTTGAGTTCTTGAGGATGTGTAACAGGTTCCTTATCTGGTTCTTAACAGTAAGTTTGTTAGATCGTCAAAATATAACAGGGATACACATATAACCTATCATGGTTCTTATATATCATTTCATAATGTATTGTATTGTATTTCATTGTATTGTTTTAATAATATAACGTTTGGATAGATTGTATCATTTGACGTTGTTTCATGATGTCACCAACAACATGAACATTAAGCTTATAATATTACAAAGATTAAGTAGGGTAGGGGTAGAATCATTATATAATAAGGTAGAGTAAATGATAAAATATGATTATTTAATAATAAGATAGAAAGGCAGCCTTGGAGCAACGGTTAAGTTGTCTCCGCGTGACCAATAGGCCACGGGTTCAAACCGTAAAATAAGCCATTGATGATTACATCAGAGTAGGCTACTTACATCACACCCCTTGGAGTATGGCCCGTCTCCAGACCTTGTGTGAACGCGGGATACTTTATGCACCGGGCTGCATATAAAGCAGGGAATAAAACTTGTGTCTCATGGACGAAAGTAGGGAATATATAGAACTTGTGTCTCACAAATTCTTTCATGGAATTCCGTTTTTGCAAGTATAAAATTTTATTTACCAAATGGAACGTTTACAGCACAAGTCATTAAAAAAACATGAGACCAAGTGAGACTAAGCAAAAGGCTTCAGCATCAGTTGAAAGTTGCTCTTCTATAAATCCACTGCATATACTCCTGACTAATGCTTCCGCAGACCGCAGTTATTTTCTTACCTTGGAGAACTCTTGCATTTGTTTCTTGCCAGGTGTAGTAAGAGTACCAGCCAGCACCATTCCATATATTTCAGCAGTTGCACTTTCCCCCTACAATTTATACTAGCAATAAGCCCCACATTCAAAGAAAAGGTAAGAGATGCTTTCATTTTTAGCATTACACACGGGACAACACAGATTATCAGTAACACCCCCAAACAGGGAGTAAGCATCCCTTGTGTACAGTCTTCGAGCAGCCACATCATTAGCACAAGTTTTCTCCATAGAACCTTCTCAAATGCACCTCTCATCTTCAGATATAGATCATTCTAATAGAATATCTTTGCATTTCCAACAAGTCTTTCACCATATAACCAGCTTTTTCTAAATATTTCCTGGCATTTAGAATCTTTCTTCACCATCTGTAGAGGAGTTAGTAACATGCACTACTGTTCCTTAGTGCCTTAGTTGACAGCTAGGATTAGTTAGTTGACAGTTGTCCCTTAACTTAAATATAGCACCTAGAATTAGTATATAATATACTTGTACAGCTTATTGATTAAGCATTCTATTCACTTTATAATCAGAGAAAATTGTTTGGCACTCTCTCCTTCTTCCTTGTTTGCTTATTCTCTTATCAATTTCTACTGATTGGGATGAATTTAATATGGTATCAGAGCGGGAGCGGGAACTGAGTGAATCTAGGGTTCTTTTGTCGAATGCCTGACTGAAATTTCGAGAGATTCATCGGCAATTCATAGCTGAGTGAATCTAGGGTTTTTTCGTCGATTACTTGACTGAAATTTCGAGAGATTCAGCGGCAATTCCTATTTTTTTCCTGTGTTTCACTTTCTGAGCTTCGATTATGGGGAGTCCTGAAGGTATGAGTTCTTTGACTACGGGAAATTCTTCTCCTATAATTGATCATCATCATCCATTATACATGTATCTGTCAGATGCACCTGGTTCATTATCAGCTGTGATTGAGCTTGTCGGTACGGAAACTTACACGATTTGGAGCCGAGCTATGAAGGTAGCTCTTCTAGGATGCAACAAATTAGGTTTTATTAATGGCTCTTTTGTTTGAGCTGATTATTCTGGTGATCTCGCGAAGGATTGGGATCGTTGCAATGCTATTATGCTTTCCTGCTAATGGGGAACATGCATCGAAATCTACTCGCTGGGATCTTATTTTGTTCCAGTGCAGCACTCGTTTGGAAGGATCTGGAGGAACGCTTTGATAAGGTGAATGATTCGCGAAAATTGCTATATTAACTCAGGGGCTCTCATCTATATCAGAGTATTTTTCCAGAATAAAAGATTTATGGGATGAGTATGACTCGCCAGTACCTCCTTCTTCTTGTGATTGTGCAAAGTCTAGGGACTCTCTTATAAATTTTGAGAGGCAGCGTCTTTATCAATTTCTAATGGGATTAAATGATAGTTATGGTCATGCTCACAGTCAAATTTTAATGATGAAACCTATGCCAAACATTAACCAAGTCTATTCTATGTTAATGCAAGATGAAAGCCAAAAACAACTTGCAGGAGGCATTTATGTTTTGACTGACAAAGTTGATCCTGCAGCACTGTTTGTTGCTGGAAATGGAGGACAGGAAAAAAAACCTATATTGTGACCATTGCAATATGAAAGGTCACACAAGGACAAGTTGTTTCAAGTTGACATTTTATGAGCACTGTCGCATGAAAGGACACTTGAAAGAAAACAGTTACAAAATTATAGGGTATCCAGCTGATTTCAAAGTACAGAAGAAGGCGAATTTAGTGACAACATGTCTCACTCCATTATAAGGAGGCAACAATGTGCTGAGAGGCCTTAATGTGCAACAAGGACTTAACCTGACTACAGCTCCAGTCATCACATAAGATTAATACAATCAAATTTTGAGCATGTTGGGTAAATCTTCCATTAGTGAGGCTATTGCTAACATGGCAGGTAAACCACTGTCTTCCTCTGTAGATGTTTCTAAGAGGATAGTTGATTCAGGAGCGACAAATCATATGATACACGATGCATTTAGTTGATTTAGGAGCGACAAATCACATGATACATGATGCATCTTTGTTGAATAATGATGGATTAGTAGGAAATTCAGGAAAGGTACAACTTCCAAATGGAGATTCAATTGAGATAACCCAAGTTGGTAATTGTGATTTGCCTGGAGGTGATCTGATAAGTCATGTGTTATATGTACCGGACTTTAGATTCAATCTTTTGTCAGTATCGAAGCTAGCTAAGGAACTAAGTTGCTACATCACATTTTTCCCTCATTTCTTTCTCTTTCAGGATCTCTTCACTGGAAATATGAAGGGGATTGGTAGAGAGGAGGATGGCTTGTACGTGCTGAAGTCACAGAGGAAACGACAAGATGCCAGGAGTCTTATCAAGTCTTTGGCTGCAACAACTGAAGTATCTACAGAACTATGGCATAAGAGACTAGGTCATGTACCTATGCCAGTTCTTAGGAAGATTTCATGTTTGGGAGTAAGTATAGCTTTATATCACACCATTGTGTTATTTGCCCACTAGCTCGACAAACTAGAGCACAATTTCTTGTTAGTAGTAGTCGAACAACAGACTCTTTTCAATTGTTGCACATGGATGTTTGGGATCCTTACAAGCTCCCCACTTATAATGGAATGTGATATTTTCTTATAGTAGCAGATGAGTTTTCCAGATATGTATTCTTGTTGAATCTAAAATCTGATGTTGTTACTGTGCATAAGGATTTTATCGTCATGGTTTCCACTCAATTTGGCAAAGTTGTCAAGTCATTTAGATCGAACAATGGGACATAGTTTTTAATAGCCATTGCATTGAGTTGTTCAATAGATTTGGTATAGTACATTAGAGTTCTTGTCCATAACTCCGCAACAAAATCGAGTAGTGGAGAGGAGGCATAGGCATATTTTGGAAACTACCAGGGCTATCAGGTTTCGGAGTCATTTACCTATCAGGTTTTAGGGTATTTGTATCGAAGCTGCTGTTTATATGATTAACAGGATACCTTCCACAATTCTTGGAAATATTTCACCATGTGAGGCCTTATTCAGGAAGCCACCTAGTCTTTCACATATGAGGGTTATTGGTTGTCTGTGTTATGCTACTAGCTTGACTAGAAGAGACAAATTTGCACCAAGGGTCATTAAGGCAGTTATGTTGGGGTATGTGGCTGCTCAAAAGGGTACAAGTTGTTAGATTTGGAGAACAAAACTATATTTGTAAGTAGGGATATTGTATTTTATGAAGATATGTTTCCTTTTCAAATGGTGTCGGGTATTCAGCAGATGCATTGTCCTATTCATAAGTATTTATCTGATGGCCAACCTCTTAATTTACTTCCAGTTCAGAACACCCAGGATGTTCAAGAAGTGTTGCCGGCTATAGTTACAGCAGCAGAACAGTCTCGAGAGGTGATGTCAGATGTAATCTCAACAACAGATTAACTACCGCCATCTTCTAATGTTGACCAGGGAGCTATTGCACCAGCCTACGAAGACATACCAATTCCTGATTTGAGAAGATCGGACAGAACTATTAGACCCCCTATTTGGCTCAAGGATTTCGACCGACCAAATAATGGTCGCACTACTGCTAGTACTTGTGTTTACCCTATTTCCTCTGTATTGTACTACACTGGTATGTCTACCTCTTATCAAAGCTATATAGCCAAATCTTCCATTAAGCTAGAACCCAGAAATTATCATGAAGCTGCTAAAGATAGTAGATGGAGAGATGCCATGCAAGCTGAAATACAGGCATTAGAGGCCAATAAAACTTGGGAAGTGGTGCCTCTTCCCAAAGGTAAGAAGGCCATAGGATGTAAATGGGTGTATAAAATCAAGTATCAAGCATCTGGTGAAATTGAGAGGTTCAAGGAAAGATTAGTGGCAAAGGGATACAACCAAAAGGAGGGTATTGATTATTAGGAGACATTCTCACCCGTAGTGAAGATGGTTACTGTGAGATCCGTGATTTCCTTGGTTGCCTCTAAGGGATGGATCATACATCAGATAGATGTTTTTAATGCTTTCTTACAGGGCGGCCTACATGAAGAAGTTTATATGGAGCCTCCTCAAGGTTTTGCTCCCTCAGGGAAACACTCTGTTTGTAGGTTGCTTAAGTCACTCTATGGACTTAAGCAGGCCTCTAGACAATGGAACATTAAATTGACTGATGCATTGATTTCTTCAGGGTTTTCTCAAAGCCATTTGGATTATTCCTTGCTCACTAAGAAGGTTGCTGGCAAGATGTTGTTGTGTTGATCTATGTCGATGATCTCCTTATAACTAGAGATGATGCTCAGCTAATTCAAGAGACCAAGGATGCTTTGCAGCAACATTTCAAGATTGAATATCTAGGGGAACTCAGATACTTCTTAGGTATTGAGTTTGCTAGAAAGAAGACTGGTATTGTGATGCATCAGAGGAAATATGCTTTAGAGCTTATTTCAGACATGGGGCTGGCTGGTTCTAAGCCTCTTGGTGCACCCATGAATTAAATCTCAAGCTTACTTATGCTGAATACGATCAATACCTTGGTCAATCAGCTGATTGTCTTCTGCCTGATCCTTCCAGTTATCAGAGGTTAATTGGCAGGCTTCTCTACTTGACCATTACGACCAGACATTGCTTTTGTTGTGTAATGGCCGAGTCAATTCATGCAGGCTCCTAAGGTGTCCCACATGGAGGCAGCTATCAGAGTTGTGAGATATGTCAAACAAGAGCCTGGTCTTGGTATTTTCCTGTCTACGGCTGGTTCTGATAAGTTGACAGCATATTGTGATGCTGATTGGGTCTCTTGTCCCAACACAAGGAGGTTTGTCACTGGTTATAGTGTGAAGTTTGGTGACTCCCTGATTTCATGGAACTCCAAGAAACAGACAACTATTTCTCATAGCTCTGCTGAAGCAGAGTACATGAAATCTAGCTTCTACGGTGGCTGAGGTTATTAGGATCATTGGCTTGTTCAAGGAATTGTCTGTTGATCTTCAACTCCCTGTGTCTCTATTTTTTGACAGCAAGTCTACCATTCAAATAGCTGCTAATCTTGGTTTCCATGAGTGTACTAAACATATCGACATTAATTATCACTTTATTCGGGAGAAGGTGCAGCAAGGTTTGGTGTCTACTCTTTACCTTTCCTCTGCTGAGCAACAAGCTGATATGCTTACTAAAGGTCTCACTAAGGCGCAACATTCTTACTTGGTGTCCAATCTAGGAATGAAATCTTCATTTCTCCTAGCTTGAGGGGGGTGTAGAGGAGTTAGTAACATGCACTATTGTGCCTTAGTTGACAGCTGGGATTAGTTAGTTGACAGTTGTCCCTTAACATAAATATAGCAGCTAGAGTTAGTATATAATATACTTGCACTGCTTATTGATTAAGCATTCTATTCAGTTGATAATCAGAGAAAACTGTTCGGCACTCCTTCTTCCTTATTTGCTTATTCTCTTATCAATTTCAACTGATTGGGATGAATTTAAAACCATCCATGAAGACTGCTTTCCACCAATAGTTTGTCTTTCTCTTGGCATTATAAGTTCCATAGGATTTTGCACACAACAGCTGATAGAATATATGAGTCCACCAAACTATATAGAGACCAGGTCCTCTATGAGTTTCCACTGAGAATGATAATGAAATAGTAAGTAAATAGAACAGGGAGTTTTTACGTGGAAAAATCCCTGCTCAAGGGGATTAAAAAACCACGACCTACACTGGTAGGATTTCAACTTCACTATGAGCAACTTTAAATTACAACCTATGCAATCTAGGAATTAAACTCTTAATCCCTCACTAACTTGTACTACACCTATTACAAGCCACTTTGCAATACACCTATTACAAAGACTTCAACTCATGACTAACTCTAGTCACGACACAAACACTAAAGGTTTATGGTTTACAAGGGGTTCCTAAGTAACGCTTCTAGATAAGCAAAGTAGGAATTACAATGAAGAACAATTACAAAGTTACAACTCCACTAAGGACATACAAGATACTTGCTGTAGGAACTGGTCCGTAGTAGTGTTGTTCTTTGTTCTTGATGCACTTGAGAACTGAATGCTTGACAGATGAACGGTTGGTGTGCTTGAATGAATTCTCAAGTGTTCAAGTGATGTTTTGTTGTAATGCTCTTTGTTAATACAACTTAGATGACATCACTTGAATGATGTAATCACTTGGTTGGTCAAAGGGGAGTGACTGCAGTACTGTGCAGCACTGTTTGCGTGTAAAGTGCAGGCAGTCACTTTCCAGCTGTAGACAGTTGACTTCGTACTGTTGTCAGGGAAACACAAGGGGATCAGGTCCCTGTGTTGATCCTTTATCTTTTGAAGTCATAGCAACTCACATTAGCTGGAGTCCGTTGATTTGTGTTGTGTACCAAGTGTGTCAGGTTCCTTATCTGGTTCTTTGACAGTAAATTTGTTAGATCATTAAAACATAAAGCTAAGGTACTGTAAATCAATCAACAGCTTTATTCCAGGTCAAAATGTCAAGGATATTAAGATCACTAGCTGACTTTGGGGAACAGACCTTACCACGGGATAACATGAGACCAACTAATCTATACCTCCAGTCCATAAGAATCTCCAACTCTAAATGTGTACATCGTGCATGGACACTAATAACGGCCGAGTAGGAATGAGTTTTAATTTATGGGAGTTCATAATCTTTTTTTCCAAGAAAGTAAAAAAGTAAATCGTGGAAAGTTTAGTATTTCCGTTTTAGAAAAGGAAAAAAAATCGATTATAGTAAATGTGCTACTCTTATAGAATTGTCTCGAAAATCACTGCAAACAACATTCGCACTATCCTTTCTTTCTGTTTTTTCTTTTTTCTTTTTTTTAATTATACAAGAACGAACAAGTAATCAAAGAATCCTCTTGGATTTGGTCATATTCGTCTCTATTTTGTTTCAGAATCTTCAGCTCTAGTTGAAATAGTATATATATGGGAAACCACAACACGGCTACCTCAAAGTCCGGTTAATAATACAATAGAAAATGCATCTAGATATATATTTTCCAAAGGTTTTCTAGCTTCTAATATATTTGTTTAACAGTATTCTTGTTCCCTATACATTCTGTTTTTTAGTTCATCTTACATTTTTTATTAGCCACTTTCAATTAAACCCCTCCCCAATCCCACCTCACCAAGCATAGTCCCCTTGCTTTCGTTATAGGTATGCTACACCTTGACATTCATAGTACTGAACTGGTGCATAATAAAGACATGACTAGCACATTCGTTTCAATAGACTCTTCTTCATAATTGAACTCTTAACTCCCTAAGATAACATTTATGCCTTGCACGTAAAACATAAACTCATCTTATATAAAGACTTGCCTTCCCAATTCCCATCAAGGGAAAACAAATTTAAAAAGGAGAAGGTAGGACTCAAAAAAATGGCCCATGATCAAGAAAGTGTGGCTGCTCGCAAAAAAACAGTGAAGAAGATCAGCATTATTGCCATTTCTTCCATAGTTCTTGTTGGTTGTATTGTGGCTGCTGTTGTTGGAATAACTTACGCCAAAAATGGGAACTCATCAGACACTCAATCCAAGTCTTTTTCCACAGCAATTAAAGCTGTTTGTGACGTAACATTATACCCTCAATCATGTTACAACAGCCTTGGCCCTCTAGCCAAATCAGACAGCCTTAAACCTCAAGATATTTACAAATTATCCGTCCAAGTTGCTATCAACGAGCTCTCTAGAGCTTCGGATGAGTTCTTCAATATGCCACAAGTGAAGAATATTTCTGATCCTATGGCTGTTAAGACCTTAGGAAGTTGTCATGAACTTCTTTCACTTGCACTAGACAGCCTCAATGAATCTCTTTCTATCCCAAGTAAGTCGTTGTTCGACGGGTTTTCTGACCTCAAGACAAAGCTAAGTGCAGCTGGAACATACCAGCAAACATGCATTGATGGTTTTGGGGATATTACTTATGCTTCTGCTAGTATGGCTTCCAATAACCTTAAGAATTCGGGTCAACATACTAGTAACAGCTTGTCCATTGTTGATATCATGGATCAATCAATTCAAAATTCTATTGACTCAATGGATTCCTTGGGTGGAATTGGGAGAAGACGTCGTTTGATGAATTTTGATGGAGATTTTCCAAGCTGGATGGCTTCAAAAGATAGGAAGTTGCTTCAATCTTCAAAAGGAAAGAGTTTGATCAAAGTGGACGCTGTGGTAGCTAAAGATGGCTCTGGGGACTTTATTAATATCAGTGATGCTCTTGAGGAAGTGCCTGAGAAGAGTAACAAAAGGTTTGTGATTTATGTGAAGCAGGGAGTTTATGTGGAGAATGTTATAGTTGAGAAGAAGAAATGGAATGTTATGATGATTGGTGATGGCATGGATGCTACTATTGTTTCTGGCTCTCTCAACTTTATAGATGGCACTCCCACTTTCCAAACTGCAACTTTTGGTAAGTTGTTGTTCCAATTTTGCATGAGACAGATAGTGGTTCCTAAGCAATATACATGCATGTTTTAACCTTCTAAATTCTAATACTTCTTCCATTTTTCTTCTTACACAGCTGTGTTCGGCAAGGGATTCATAGCTCGTGACATGGGTTTCCGCAACACAGCAGGTGCAGCCAAGCATCAAGCAGTTGCCCTTATGTCAACTGCTGATCTCTCTGTCTTTTATCGCTGCAAATTCGATGCATACCAAGACACGCTATACGCACACTCCAATCGTCAATTCTACAGAGAATGCAGTATCTATGGCACAGTTGACTTCATATTTGGTAATTCAGCAGTTGTGTTCCAAAACTGTCACATACTTCCCAAGAAACCAATGCCCGGCCAAAAGAACACTATCACAGCTCAAGGCAAGATCGACCCTAATCAAAACACTGGCATTTCTATTCAGAATTGCACAATTTGGCCCTCAGCAAATCTCACCGGAGTCAGTACTTTCTTGGGTAGGCCATGGAAAAACTATTCCACAACCGTTATTATGTCTACAACAATGGGCAGCTTTATTGATCCTGCAGGGTGGTTGCCTTGGGTGGGTACTACAGCACCAGACACTATTTACTATGCTGAATATAGAAACTTCGGCCAGGGGGCTGTGACCAAAAATAGAGTCAACTGGAAAGGATTGAAATTGAATATTACTAGTAAAGAAGCTAGCAAGTTTTCTGTTCAGAAATTCATTCAAGGTGACAAATGGCTCCCATCTACTGGAGTCAGCTTCAAGAAGGATATCTGAGTGAGATAAAGCTACGGTGGAGTCGTCATCTTTTCTTTCCTCCAATAAGGTTGATTTTGTTTTCTGTTACAATTTAATCATCCTGAGGGGCGTTTTCTTTTCTTTTTTTCGGGGGAGGGAGGGAGGGGGGGGTTGGTTTGGTACTGCTTTTGGAGCCCAAAGAGCCTAAGAATACCCTTAACTGCTGCTTCTTATCTCTAAACGTTGTATTCAATTTCAAGGATATTTTCTTACTTTTGCTGAACTTCACGTTTAGTCAAAGGCATTCTTAACCATGATTTTCAGTTAACATAATATCCTGTGAGAAGAGTTTCATCCTAATCAACGTACAAGTACAAAAGCATTTTTTACTAACATATTAAGTTGGATTGGAATAGCAAAGGGACACTCTGTGAAGATAGAAAGGTTTACGTGCAACGTTTGCCAATTGCACTCTTAGAGCTGGAATAATACAAAACACTAATGTCTACTATAGTTTCAGTTCAATAGGAAATAGGCTAGAGCGACGCAAGTAAACCAGTAAAACGCAGAAACCACTTTAATGTGAGACTACCTATATATAGGCCCAAATGTATCCTGAAAGTATACACCACTAAATATTGAATCTGGGTGGAGTTCACAGTTTAACTTACAGGAATTTGATATACAACTCTGCCTAAAGCACAAGTCTGTTAAAAATCCAAATCAAATTGAGACTAATAAATTAGAAAGCATGTGATCTATACAAAAGCAATCTTTCACTTCATTTTTAGCTGCTAAAGACTCGCCTTCCACTTATATTTCTTTAACAGGCAGTATCTTTAAAGGTAAGTATTGCATAACTGAGCAGAAAATGGAAAGGACCTCGCCTCCAATACAGGATGTCAGTAGGAGGATTTAAACACTTCAAAATCCACATTGTATCTAACTGAACAAAAATATTATAAAAATCAAAATGGAACAATCCTCTAGATAAGCACAAATAACTGGTCTGTTGCAATGTATCAGCAAATTACTAGTCGCAAGACTAATTACGGATCAAAATCCACTGTTCTCATCAAAATTGCAGTAAAATAAAGTACTAGTATTACTAGAAACCAGAACGACAACCTCTGGCAAAACACTTCAATGGAATGAACCTTTTTTAGACTACTTCAATGGAATGAACCTTGAAGAGTGAGTAGCACCAATACCGGGCCTACCGTGCTTAACAGGCTTGTATGAGATTGAGAACTCAGCTAAATAGTGGCTAATCATTTCAGGCTTGACCTCAATTTGATTGAATGTTTTCCCATTGTAGATTCCAATAACGCTTCCAATCATCTCAGGTACAATAATCATGTTCCTCAAATGTGTTCTGACAACCTCTGGTTTCTCACCTGGTGGAGCCTCACGTTTCTGCACGAATACGTTTAGATGTATCAATGAAAAGAAACATGGTCCTAAATACCCAATTAGTGCCAAAACATATCAAATACTACATCAAAATCCAAATGTTACAGCGAAGCCAAACTTGCCAACCATTAAACATTGAGTGCAAGCATTAAATCCTGTTTCTTTCTGTAGGAAGAGGTGGTTGCATGAGGAAAGTGACTTCTGATGAATAGGAATTGAACATCAGAAGCCCTTTCCTCCTCCCCCAAAAACTACTGACAAGTAGAACTTCCTGATCTATTGCAAACAGGAAAAGAAGAAAACACGAGGAATAAATCACAAGTCAAGGTCACGATACCTAATTCGGGTAAATTCTACTTTAGCAAGCTTGCACTCCCAACTCATGTGATTGTCACCCAAGTGTTAAAGCCACATTTGATAGCAATAATCCTCAAATCAAGTCAACATATAGTATTGTGACTATTATCAATAAGAAGTATAGTATTGTGTCATTTTAAACTCTGCAAACAAATGTGCTAAAACTACAATTTGAAACTATAGCGGCAGAAAAAAGACAGCAACTATGGAATAATATAGGGCATTCCCCTCACTTTGACAGCATGTTGACGCAGCAAAGTGGCCAGGGAGTCCCCAAACCATTATTGTGCGCCTACGCACAATGTGCGCCACAAATAAAAACCTCACTCTGTGGTATACCACGCCACCTCTTGTTCACGAGGGAAGCGCTCGGCCTTAGGCGCCTAAATTCTCAACTTTCAGTTACCATCAGTATGTTATGCATAAAAGCACAAATAAATCTAAAGCAATCATTGTACTAACATTATTTCATCTTGTATCTCAATTTCACATTTCAGTGGTATTTAGCCTCATGCGCTAAATTCAATAAAGAGTTAAGCACTCAGCAGTTCCAGTAATACAATTTTCTCCAAATTCACTGGAATAAACTAAATAAATTGGACCAGGCTGTTACTGAGGTAATGAAAAACAAAGTCATGCGTAACATTCAAAACATATATTAGTTTTTGCATTAGGAGCATGTTCCCAGTTATTCTTTACTATAGAAACAGTTTATAGTATTGAGCATCAAATAAATAATTCCCAATTCAGAGAAAGCTAATTGGTAAAACTAATCTTACCGCCTTACGCAGCTTCTTGATCAAAGCCATTGGCTTCCTCTTCAAACCCCTCTGGAACCTAACACAATTACAAATCAAGATGAGTTTTTTTCACATATGAAACACCTCTCCATCTTCAAATACGAGCTTATACATGGGGGAAAACTTATATATAGGAGAATTTCAGTCCAATCACTACATTCAAGAATGGCCCTTCAGTTCAGTTGGTCTTGGTCAATGTCTAATCTACCTTCATTTGACAATATAACTATTTGGAGGGTAAAATTGCTGCTTCTTTGACAACATCTTGCAAGCACTCAGTCAATTCCAATTTATGTGATCCTATTTGCGAGTAACCTCTACCTAAACACAAAAACAATTTAACTTAACCTTCTTATTTTACCCTTAATGGAAGACTTTTACAGACTTTATAGACACACTAATAATATAGTAGCATGTTTACGACCACACGCATCAAAAATCTTAACAGGGCAAAACATCGTAGATGTCATGGCATGTTTAACACAACAAGTTTTAACAATCTTAGTTTTTTCTTATTGTAAAAATTCCAACATATAGAAACTTATGTTTGCTGAACTTTTTTCTAGTTATTAGAAATACTCTTGTTAAAGAAAATGTACAAGTGTGAGTCCTGTAATTACACAGCGCCCAATACCGTGTTTTCTTAGTGTCAAGCACAAATTTACGTTGAATTAAAGTTCAGCGGCTTATAATTCGACAAATAAGATTGCTCAGACTAAACAAATTAATAACAATTCAACAATATACATTCGCAAAAAAAAAAGTAAGGTACCTTCTGCGAGGGCGAGCAGGGAAGAGCTTAACGAGCTCATCAGTAGACATGTCAAGAAGAGCATCCAGATCTACTCCTCTGTAGCTGAACTTCTTAAACGTTCTCTTCTTTGGCTGTCCGGCCGCAACATCAGCACCTTCAACGTCCGCCTACAGAAAACAAACTGTTAAAAACCAGAAGCAATGAAATAAGGAAACACATTGAGAGAAAATCAATTACCATGGTTTGGAATTGAACTTTGCAGTGAAGCAAGCACCTACGGAAGTGACTGCGGCTAGGGTTTTGAGGGAAAGATGATGAAAGATGAGTTGCTGAGAAGTGAGAGCCATATATAAGGATGGGTGTAGGGTTCGTGATTTTAATGGGCTGGGCTTCAGAAATTGGCCTCACGTGTTACCTCTTAATGGGTCAATAGCCCATATAAACGCCAGAATTTGTTTGGAATTAATTCGAATTTTATTTCAATCTTTTGTATTTTAAACATATTAACTTGTGCGCATATGTACCTTGCTATAACTATAAGCATCATAATATGATAGCGGGCAAAATATATAGTTTATCCATCGACCTTGTACCAAAATCCCTGTTACACACCTCTCCACCACGGGCAATTTTTTACACACCTAACCTTTGTAGAGTGTGTCTAAGACACACCACTTTTTTCTTACTCAGATTTTCAAAGTATGTGTACTATCACGCGCCAATAAGGTCGTGACACGTGTCACTGACCAATAATAAAAAAGATAGCACATAAAATTACAATTATATCCCCATCTTCTTCGTCTTGTCCACCATAACTGCCATCATCAAGCATTCATTTTCTTTTTGTGCTCTTTCGATTCCCTCAACTGAAGCAAACGAGGTAGTAATAATAATTACTTGTAAACTCACCCATTAACAAAATTAAAGAATGTGCTTATTTGGAAAAGCTTGAGCTAAGCTTTAATAGTTGGAGAAAATTTTAAAAATTTTACCCTTTCAGAAATTCAACTTAGACACGGCAAAGCTCAAGTTTGGAGAAAAGAAGAATCTTTTGTACATAAGTTTAAGCCTAGCTTTAATGGTTGGTGGAGCTACAAATTTGTGAATTCTAATTACAATTTCTCAATCAAAAAAAAAATCGACAAAGCTAAGGACTAATCAATAAGAAAGATATGAGAAATTTTGGTGGGTCTACTTGAGAAGAAGTAGATCGAGTGGAGAGAAGTGGGTCTAAGCAACAAAGGAGTAGCTATGGCGGGTTTAGTGATTTTTTTAAACAAGGAAGAAGATGACCCTAATTTAAATTTAAAAAAATTACAAAATTGACATCTGATATAAAAATTCTCATGTTCACGCGCTTCATTTGTTGGCAAATACACACATTGACCACGTGGTCAAAGTGGTATGTCTTAGACACACTCTACAAAGGTTGGTGTGTAAAAGGTTGCCCGTGGTGAAAAGGTGTGTAATGGGGATTTGGGTGTAAGGTTAATGGGTAAACTATATATTTTGCTATGATAGCGAGAATCTCTATGGAGATATTGAAAAGGCCATTCCACGGCATTTTATGAAGATATTACATATCTATCAAAATGATGATTTCAAGGTGCAACATGTTTATTCAAGTTAGTATGGCCGATTTGTTTATCAAATCTCTACCAAAGATCTTTTGAAGATGGTGCACAAGATTGGAATGCAAATGCTTAAGGATGTGAATTGATACTCTCGTCAGGGGGAGTTAATACGCGTTGTACTCTTTTTCCCTTACAAGGTTTTGTCCCACTGGGTTTTCCTTGCTAGGTTTTTAACGAGGCAACCAAAAGGCGTATTGCTAGATGTGTACTCTTTTTCCTTTACTAGAATTTTTTTCCCACTAGGTTTTATTTTAGTTAAGGTTTTAACGAGGCACGTCATCGGTTGAATAGACATTCAAGGGGGAGTGTTATAAATAAAATTTTATTTATGGTGAATGTCTATATTTAGAGAGATTCTAATGTTTATTACTTGGTGGTTAAGTCACCCTCTCCCTATAAATAGAGGGTTAAATTCCATTGTAATTCATCCCAAAATCAATAAGAATTCTCTCTCCCTACTTTTCTCTGCAATACTATTCTTCTTCTTTTATTGTTTCATAACAATTTTAAAGTATAATTATCATTTTTGCTCAAGTATACATATGTAATAGTAAGTTATTATAGTCACTAAAAGATTCATGTAGAAATATTTTTTTGAGCCACAAATTACACAATATAAAAAGTGATTACAGATGATCCTAAATACCTCAATTGAGGTAATACAGTGTGGGAACCAGAGATAGAATAGACCAAGTGTGACACCAAGTTCATCCACCTGAATAGGAAAATCGCATCAAATTGAAAAGTCAAATCAAATCGATTAAAAAATTCGATTAGGTTTGGTTTGATTTGGTTTGATATTGAGTAAAAAACCCCGAATCAAATCGCTATATAAATATATAATTTTATATACACTTTTAAGACTATATATATTATTTTTTTAAAATATATTTAAAAATATTTGGGATCCTCTCATGGAAAGTAATACTTAATAGAACTATAAAGTGCAATTATTTTATTTACTTATAATAACGGGTTGTATCACTTTTTTATAGAGTATTTTGAAATGCGACAATCATCTCATCGTTCTTCCATACTCATATGTCAAGATTTCTTATATCTTTATCGATTTTGAAGTGGTATTCTAATAATTTAAATATATAGAACATATCATTATTTAGGTATCATATTGATTTTATAGTTTGTTATTAAATTCAGTTAACCTTGAAAGCGTACATCAACAAAAATAATTGTTTGGGAAGAAAGTAAATATCATGTGTTACTAGAAAAATACTCTCATAAGAATATGGCCAAATACATATACAGCCCGTTCAACTTGGCACCATTTTCCACTTTGGCACTCTATCTCAACCTTGTTCCATTTTGGCCCTCCAACTCTATTTTGTATGTTCCACTTCAACACAAAAGTTGAAACCAATGCAAAAAATATAGCGCGTGTGTATAAACAAATATGAGGTGTAATAAATACCCAATTAAATATTGTCACCTGGTTTTTCATCCATGTTAAACGGGAAAATACTAAAATACCTGAACCTGATCATATTTGGGTAAAATTAAGGCCCCTTCTTATTTACACAAGAAAATAACAACACTAAAAATGAAATTCGAAAATGGTTCACTTACTTTGTCAAATTTACACCCATAAAAGCGCCGACATGGATTTCTTGGTGTCCATGATACTTTTAGTTCAACTTGAGATCCATAAGAACAAATATTCATTCCATTATGAAAAATAATTTTTTTGAGATATGGATTCATCTCAAACTTCAAGCTTAGATGAAACAAACCCACAAAAAAAAAAAAAATCAAAATAAATAAAAGAACAATAAAATTGCAAAAGTTTGAAATTTTTTGGATGGCCAGGTATGAAATCGGCATATGAAAGCTTTGGAACTTTGAGAATGAAGATGGGGCAACAGTGGATGAAAAAATACGGTCGAGTTCGGGTATTTTAGTATTAACCCATTTGATATAGATGAAAAAACCAGGTGACAACATTTAATTAGATATTTATTACACCTTAGATTTGTGTGTGCTATATTTTTTGCACTGGTTTCAGCTTTTGTGTTAAAGTGAACATGAGAAATAGAGTTGGATGGCCAAAATGAAACAAGGTTGAGATAGAGTGCCAAAATGAAAAATGAGGCCAAGTTAAATGGGTTGTATATGCATTTGGCCTAAGAATATTAATAAATTATATGTTTCAAGTTTTAGTAAATATATATTCATTTATCAAAATTTTATCTATAAATTTAACAAAGTAAGACTAAAATAATATTTATATTGCCCAAAAACCCAAAAAATCCGACAAAATCGAACCAATTCAAACCGATATAGTTTATTTTATTTTATCTGAACCAACCCGATCTATATACACCTTACACGTGAATGCTTTTTTTACTGTGCAGTTAGTAGCCAAGAGTTTGAAGAAAAAATCGGATAGCAACACTACAAAAGAAAATTAAGTAAACAAACCAAATCAAGTAGAGTCGTTTTCTTTTTTGTTTCGATATATTTAGATTTTTCTACATAAAATATATATTCATTTCATTCAGTATACTGAAGTAAAAAAACACAAATTTTCATATGTCGGTATACGTTTAGAAGGAATCAAATAAATTGATTAACCTATTGTCTATTGAAACATCTATATTTGAAAATTTTCATCATGAAACTCGATAATTATTCACTAATCAAATAACAATCTTACATTCATAAATTCTTTTCAATCAACCTAACATTAACGATTAAAACAATAAATAAACCACTCATTTGATTTAGAAGAATATAAAACTAAAGAAATAACTTGAATATGTATATACAGCTTTATTACGGCTAAAAACATAGTATAAAGTAAGATTTCTAAGATAATGATTATCTATGACCATAAAAATTTATAAATTTATGTGTATGGTGATAACGCCCAACTATGCCTTATAAAAAGGACTAAGCGGTCGCTACAAATATAATCCGGTTTACAAGTCCGGAGTCGAATCCCACAGAGAACTAAAGCTTAGCTACAGTTGTTGACTATCACTAAGAAGATAAGCTCGAACAATTCCTAAGTTATAAATATTAAGATTTTTATATCTAATTAACCAAATAATTAAAGTAGTCGATTAACAACTAGAGATACTACGGGTCGGAGAAAAGATTAAGGAAGTCTAGAGTTATTATTTCCCCAATTGTCGGAATCCTTCCCGCTACGTCTTCTATAATTTTGCCTAAGTATTCTCTACCGGTCATGAGCGCTTTTAGATACCAAAATTTACTAGACATATTCTCCTGAATTACGCTAGCTGGCATTAAGTACGCCTCACTCGGATCGCACAAAGGTTTCGTTATTCCTAATCCTACATTTAAACCCTCCGTATTGATCCCTCATATACGTTAGGAGTGATGTTGTTCGACAACTACCTAAATATGCACTCTCTCCCGAGTAATACACACTAAATAGGTACAGTCGATTGAGAGCTCTTCAATCAACCACAATATAAACGTAGTTGAACAAATAGAGAAATCCAACGGCTCAATTATGTAAAAACATAACAAGAATTTATCCTACAAAAAGTTCTATCAAAACTCTAGAACTTGTTTGAACCATTTCACCTCCCATAAGCACTTGAATTGTGACGAACTGGTAAAAGTTAAAGTGTGGGGTGTATGGTTTGGCTTTTGAGTGGAACTAAAGAAATCAGGAGAAAGGTACACGGTTTTGAATAAGTAAGAGCCACTTGA